TGAACTCAAGAAAGCCAGTAACAGAGAGGGAGGACTGATGACCAAAGGGATTAAGACTGGGCTGGTTTAACCTCCAGAAACAGCTGACCTGACAAAGGTTAACTCTTGAATCCCAGGCTGATGGCTGGGAATCCAGCATGGGACTGATCAAGACCCCCTGCATGGGGGTGTCAGTGAGGAGGCCTAGGTAACCTATTGAGCCTTGGGCAGTAGATCAGTATTTATCCCAGGTATACAAATGGACTTTGGACTCCCATCCAACAATGTGAGATGCACTCTCACCCTGAACTCTTGGGGTAGGGTCTAGGCCCTGCTCTGGATGAAATGACAGACTATGGACACCCCCAAGGAGGGCCTCACCCTCCCTGGGGAAATGAGGGGATATTGGGGGGTTGGGGGAGGGCATGGGAGGAGGGGAGAGAAACGGACAGAGACCTGAACTGACTTGTGAAGCAACCTTGTTTCTAATCTAAATTTAAATTTAAAAATAAAATAATAGTAATAATAAAATGTAAGTGTGTAAAATATGAATGGACATTGGGAACCCATTCCACGTAGAGGGATAATGTAATGGACTCAGCCTAGTCACATGAGGGAGACTCTAGGCCCTGGTGCAAATGATATGACACATTTTGAAGATCCCCCATGGAAGGCCTCACCCTCCCTGGGGAGAAGAAAGGAGATGGGGTAGGGAGTTAGTGGAGAGCAGGGGAGGAGGGAGAGGGAACTAGGATTGAAATGTAAAACAAGTTTGTTTCTGATTTAAATTTTTTAAAAGGGGGGGGAGGTACACAACATCATTAGTCACCAGAGAAACATAAGATAAAGCTAATTTCAGTTTCCATTTCAGTCTATGGCCAGTTCTAATAGCCATAATCAAGAAAATAAATGACAATAAATGTTGGCAAGTATATGAGAAAAAAAAGAAGCCCTTATCCAATGTTGGGAGTGTAAACTGCTGCAGCCACTATAATCTCGTCTTGAAAAACTAAAGGTAGAACTCCACATGACATAGCTATGCCTGTCTTGAGCATATACCCAACAGACTTTATACCTATGACAGACATATCTGCATTTCCATGTTTATTGAAGCTTTATTCACAATAACTAAGAAATAAAATCCTCTTTGACATCCATGAATGAATAGATGAAAAATGTAATAAATACACACACAATGGAATTCTATTCAGCCCTAAATAAAAATGAGATGTGTAGCAAAATGGAAGTAACTGAAAAACATTATAGTAAGGGAGTTAATTTATTCTCAAGAGAGAGAAAGAGTGCCGCGCGATGGTGGAGCACGCCTTTAATCCCAGCACTCGGGAGGCAGAGGCAGGCGGATCTCTGTGAGTTCGAGGTCGGGCTGGACCGATAGCCTCCAAAACAATACAGAGAAACCCTGTCTTGTAAAAACCAAAGAGAGAGAGAGAGAGAGAGAGAGAGAGAGAGAGAGAGAGAGAGAGAGAGAGAGAGAGAAATGCTGTATGTGCCCTCTATATGCAGACCTTGATCTGAATTTTTTTTGTTTCTATATTTAAGTTGAAATAAGAATCTTTAGAAATCATGAGGAAAGGAAGGAGCAATGGGATGTGAGGTGATTTGAGGTTGGAGGCGTGGTCTTGGTGCTGAGAATAATAAAACACTAGTGATATCTAAGTGGAAAGCACATTAGGAGCAGAAAGGTTTGAACAGAGACGTGATTTCGGGCACAGAAGACAGGTAGTGTTAGAAGGAGGGTTCAATCAAAACTTAGAATACAAGAAAATCCATATTATTACTTTATAAGCTAATAGGCACTCTGCAACTGCAAGAGAAACTAGAGAAGGCCAAGTACATCATAACAAGGTGGGGTCCTGAAAAAGTCAGTAACAGGTAACAGAGTTCTTGGCTCCATCCCTGGCAGTGGGCTTGGTGTAGCTAAAGGTAATGGTCAGTGGTCAGGAGGGAAAAGCTGGAGATGAGGCAGATGAATAGAGAAACAAGCCCACCAGACAAGCAGACACTTTTCCTCACCACTTGCCATGAAGATGCACACATATCTGCTTGCAGTGTGCCAAAAAGGGGAGATGCTACAGGATCTGGAAGCCATAAGTCAGAGTGAAATCACTGCCTTATTTTTAAAGAATTTGCATTTCACATTCAAAACTTTATATCTGTTAAGTTTCAAACCTGGGACAAATGGCTGAGGTGCCTATTTAACGTATCAAAGTGAACCTGGCCACCAGGCTTTCCCAACATCCCCCATTGCCTGCCTATTACATGGTATGGCTGGCATATCCTACCCTCTACCTTGCCCTTAACTGAGAGGTTCAGGGACATTTCGATTACCCACCCCTTTTGTACGTTTGGCCTACTGGTTGCTACACCTGATTCCACACCCACCTCCCTTCCCCTCATGTCTACTCTGGATTCTTCCTGCCTTTGACTATGCTGTTTTACATATCTCTAATAAGTTATCTCCTCCACCATACCTAGAAGCAGTCATGTCCTTTCCTTTCCTTTTTATTTCTTTGTCTTCATTCAACATCATCATGTGTTTCCTGCCATGTATGTGTGTTTGCCACATGCATGCAACACCCATGGAGGTCAGAAGAGGGTAATGGATTCCCTAGAACCAGAGTTATAAATAGTGGCAAGACACTAAGTGGGTTCTGGGAACTGAACTTGGGTCCTTTGGAAAAGTAGCAAGTGCTTTTAACCACTCACCCATCTATCTGGCTCCCCAGCCATCTGTCTGGTCTTCCCCCTTCCAGACTTTTAGATTATAGGAATAACAGATCTTAGAGGATCATTACCCTAATGAGGGTAATGTGGGAGTTTGTACCTTATGGCAGCTCCTCCCTTTCTATAAAGGCAGCAGATCCAAAGGGATGGAAATGGGCTCTGCAGTTCTGGGGCCCGAGTCTAACTTCCAGAGAAGATTTACTGCTTTTTCTGTTCTGCCTTGTTTGTCCATCTAAAGTCAACCCAAACCCAGAACTACAGCCAGAGGGAAATCTGGGAAACAGATTTTTCAGTTCTGCTAACTCCACAAATTAGAACCCATCACAAGAGCTCAAAACTCACTATGTCGGTTTTTTGTTTTGTTTTGTTTTGTTTTTAAGGCCTTTAAGATGTGTTAAATGTTATTACCAATGACTCAGTGTTTAATGAGTTATAATAGTATTTGTTCGACGAGAACTTGTTTTTTTTACCAGATTGATTGCTATGTCTTGCTCTTTAAAACAATTCCTGAATGACAGAGTATATCTGTCTTTTCATAAAGAGTTTTCTGCACAGTCCTAATACTTGATTAATTTCCCTCTCCCTGAGATCATTTAGTTGTGAGAACTAAAAAACTTCAGTTTCTACTTACCCAGAACACATCAGCATTGAAATCCAAGTGAACTCAGCAGTAAGAAAAAAAGATGGGCTCTCACCATTTTCCACAGAGACGGCAGGAGTATAGAGCCCATGCTTGAACACTGTCTCCTCATTAGCACTTCAATCCCTGCACTCAGCTCCCCCATCCACCTGGTGACCTGAACTCAGACAAGGGGGAACTGAATGACAAGGTGATAATGAAGAGAGAATGTCCTATCCTGCTCCAGACCCAGCTGGGACAAAGCAGCAAGACCACAGGAAGAAGGCTGGGTGAGCAGGTCTTGAAATTATTCTTTATATGGCAAGCAGCATGATGAAAAATCATTAACACAATGAAAGGGAAGGAGAGGCTGCAGAAGCAGTGAGCTTTGCTGGATAACTCAGGTCCTTCTTAGTGTAGATGTCATTTAAAAATCACAGCATTGTTTTCTGCTACTTAACAACGCTGACTGCACTGCTGTGTTGGAAGAAAAAAGTAGAGGAAAGGAGACAGAGAAGAAAGTTGAAAGAGAGAGACCTACTCATTCTCCAAGCCATGAAGAAGCATTAGCACAGGAATAAATTCCCTTACATGTCTCAAACGAAGGGGTTTCCTTACCTACAGAGCCATATGGCAGGTTCTGACTCCGTTGCACCATTTACTCTTCCTCCCCACTTAATACTTTCTCTCTCGCTTACCTACTAATCTATCCCTAACTCTCCCTCCTTCACTTCCAAACTGCTTATTACCTTTATTTGACTCAGCTATCAAATGAAGCAAAAATATTATTATAAACTAACTTTGAGACAGAGAAACACAGGCCCCACCCAAAACAAGTGATGCCCAGGGTCAGCCATCTACCGTAAAGTTTGGTGGAGTCAAGACTATAGAAGCCAGCATTAGACTCTTAAGGTTTGGATTCTTGTAATTCTTTTGAAGGAGCTTCACCCAAGGCAGATTCTACATATAAGCATACAGTTAAGGATGGATAAACTTTTCCCATATCCCACAGTCACCACTGCAGCTCACTGCGACTCCTGCATGTAGTATTTTTCCTTCAACACTAAATGTTATATCTCTATGTCTGCCTGTTGTGCTGCCTTCGAGTTTCATATATCTTCTGTGGATGGTCCTTTTAACACAGAAATACCCAACTCTTGAAGTTCTGGTGAAACTGCATGCCATTTCAAAAGCTACTATTTTTTCTCTACTTTGACAAATAGTATTCACTAATTAGTTACTTATTATTTACTTATCAGTTGCTTATTTACTCATTTATAAGCTATTTTGACATCTATTACTTTTGGAGTCAAAAGTGTCCATGGTTCAATATTCGGTGATGTGAGTGAAAAAGAAAGGATTCTAAGACATAGCCCAGTCTTCAAGAAGTCCACAATATAATAAGGAGGTGTCAAAATGCACAGACATTCTTAGGTGAGGTCTAAGAGAGTCAAGTGCCTGGCAACAGCAGAGAATCTGACCTAGCTGTTTGTCTCCTTGGTTTCGGTAGAAAGGAAAAGAAGGAAAGAAAGGGTAGAGAGGAAGAAAATGGAAGGAAGAAATCATTGAAAATGTAAATTCCCAAAATTTCCAAGCGCTCAGAGCCATTTAACCTGAGTCAGAAACTTAACAGTCAAGAAGAAAATTCATAGGTCAGTTCTTGGAGCAGAGTTTAATTCAGCATCACAGCTTCTATGGTAGAAATGAAACCCTGAATCTGGCCCCACAATGTTGCTGCTGTTGTCGCGGGCAGCTCAGTCGATTCTTGCTGTTCCTGGTGTCATTGGTAAAGAAGAATGCACAACTGAGAAAATACACCTGTATGATCTGCCTGATGGCAAGCACATTTTCTTGATTGATGATTGGTGTGGGAGGGCCCAGTTCACTGGGGATGGTGCCACCGTTGAGCCGGTTGCCCTGTGTGCTGTAAGAAAACAGGCGGAGCAAGCCTTGAGAAACCAGACGATAAGCGGCGTTTCTCCGAGCCTCTGAGTAAGACCCTGCCTTCAGAATCCTGTCCTGTTTCTTCTCCAAATTCCCTCCGTGATGAGCTGTGATATGGATCTACATGCTGAAATAAACCACTTCCTCCCCAAGATGCTTTTGATTATGGTGTTTTCTCACATTAATAGAAACCCTAAGATAAAAATTGATACTAGATCAGAAGATATTTCTGCGACAGGCCTGAGCATATATTCTAGGGAAGATTACGGTGACATTTAACCATTGTGCTGAAAAAGCTATTGGGTCCTCTATGGGAGCTTGGAAGATAAGAATATTGGGAGCAATTCAAAGAGAACTGGCTTGTGAAGCTTCAGAGGGAAGTAAGAACTCTATTGGGGCCATTCGTGTGATGCTTGGAACTAAAAATCACTAAAGTGAAACTTTTACTTTGCTGGAACAATTGATACTAACCAGCTGAGGCTTAAGAATCAGATGTGATTAAGAAGAGACCAGCATCATTGAGGCAAAAATCTTCTGGAAAATGTTTCCTCAGGATTAGCACACCGAGGCTGTGTTCTGGAAGAGGTCAAGGCTGACCTTGTGCTGCCAGGTGAACTTGATAATGAATACATTTCCCAGGTTTTCAGTACTGGTTTTGAGGGCATTCAAAGGTCATTGACAGAAGCTGGGCTGAAGTACCTAGAAAAGACCCAGAAAGACCACTGGTGAAGGAAGGTACGGCCTCCACTACAGTAAGATCCTTAGGATTAAAGGGGTCATGGAGAGTTGAGACTTAGCACCACGTGGCAGGGTCAGTGCCTGAACAGAGCTCAGGAGAGGCTATTAGTCAAACTACAGCCCAGTTGCTGCAGGAAAACCCAGAATTTTGAATATACCAGTATCATGGGACCACCAAGAAAAGCAGCATATGGAGAGTTTAGATTACTTGAGTCTAGGAAACATACTACCGAGGTGGTGAGAAGCCCTTTGGAACAGAGTAGATCACGAGTCCTAGAAATATGACACTGAGATTTATACTGTTGGACTTTGTTCTTGCTTTAATTTGATTGTGACTGTCCTTGCTTATTCCCTCTTGGAATAAGAAAATGCAGCCATGGAGGGATAAGAAAATGCAGCCATGGAGTGATAGCACATGTTTTGAATCCCAGCACTCAAGAGGCAGGGGCAGACTGATCTCTGTATGAGTTTGAGAGTGAGCTCCTAAAAATGGAGGCAGGGAAAAAAGAAAGAAAACAAAGTGTTTGACTCACTTTGAATTTACAGGAGCCCAGTTAAAGAGACTTTGTAATTTTAGAGCTTGCAATTTTAAAGGGACTGTGGAGTTTTATCTAGATTTGATATTTCAAAGAGATTGAACTTTAAGATGTTTGAATTTTTAAAGACTTGGTTTTTTTTAAGCTGAAATGTTTTATATTATGATATTACTATGAGATCTTGTGGAAGATCAAGAAAAGAAAGGTTATGGCTCAATAGTTATCTTGTATCTCAAGTTGAAAAGGATTGTGCAGGTTAGTTTTATATCAACTTGACACATGCTAGAGTTGTCTAGAAAGAGAGATTGAAAATTGACAAAATTGATAGAGGTCTAAGACAAATGATGAATTTTGAAAGTAATATGGTCCATTTCCCTGGAAAAATCTGTTTCATCTGACTAATTTTAGCATCAAGAGTGGCTTAGAACTTGAGTTCAAATGTGCAAAATTTAAAGGAAAAAATACCCAAAAGTAAACTGGGAAGCCAAATTACAAAAAGTCCCTGATTCTGACAAAGGTCTAATGGATAGCATAATTTGGAGATGGGTTCATTTGTCACATCATCAGAAGATTCCTGTTTAACAGGAAGATAGAGAAATAGAAACTATTTGTATGAATTTTTTCCATTGCATTAGTAAGTATTGCATTAGGCAACATTATGCTCCTATTTTCTGTCCCCTTCGGGGGACATTGCAGTCTCTCTCTCTTTGTTCTTTTACATACATATCTGCCCCCCAGGATGTGTCTGCTTTCTTATTTGCTGTTACAGAGCTAATTGAACCTTTCCAAAATTGACCTGAAGAACATACATATACATGCATGCATACATACATACATACATACATACTGCATCTCCCTTGCAAAGAACATGCCAGAGTCCAACTTTGATACCTGCTTTCCAAAAGGATTGGTACCAAACTGACTCTTTGCAAAAGCTGTAACTTAAATTAAAAAAATAGTCACATGTAAGTTTCAGTATTTCCAAAATATGCAAATACAGACATACAACCTATCACTAGCAAATAACTAAAAAAAATAACATTTCTAGGGATATCCTTTTACCTGTTTCTCTAAGAAGTTACTTGCGGATGAGAAGGGAATCTAAATCTTCTCAGCACTATAAATGTAATGTGAAGTGTGTTGTGGTTCTTGTAGATAAACTTCTGATCCTTAGAGATTATGGGAATTACGTGGTCTTTATCTCATGGTTGACATGAGATGGTTGATTTTTTTTTACTAGATGTGAAATATTGAATGTAACTATTCTCCCTTCATCTTCATACTTGTCTCTGTAAAAAATGGGCATGAGATTTCACCTCAAGGAAGGAAATTGTGCAATATCCCTGGAGTACCTGCAAGCAACAGTGAATATTGCCAGCACTGCTATTACTTAGTTATATGATTATCATCACGTTCATTATTGAGCCAAAGGACCTACTGAACTCAGAGCTGAAAATGTAAAGACTCCCTTATGCCCATGCTGTGAGTTCATCTCTAACAGGCAGAAGATCCATAGTCTTGTCATTTGGATAATAGAAGCATTCAGATGCTGTTGTGCATAACTATTAATTCACAAGTGGGAAGATGACAGCTCACAGATGGAAAAGAATATGCAGTGTCTTGAAACACTGTGCACAATGTGCCCCCGTCACACCCTTCTCATCCTCACTAGCCATATACCCTCTCCTTACCCAAACATTTGCGTCATTATAGGCAATTTGACAGAGTGACTCTCCCTAGTCTTCATTGTGCAATGCCCCTGAAGAAAGTAAAATTATATGTCTGGAAAAATTTTTGAAGATAATAAGGCAAAAAAAAAAAGACAGAGAATGATGTCCAGGAGACCCTACACAAACGATAGAATATCTTTCCCCAAGGCAGAATATAATTAGCTTCAGCCACTGCTATGGTTGCAGAAACACCTCAGACCCATTAAAATATTAAAATGCACACAAAAATGTGGAGATTTAAGATGCTAATGAGACACATGTTGCGCGTAACAGATGAACCATACACAAAAAAAGAAAGCCTGTGCTAGGCAAATGACTCAAATGCTACATGAATAGCCCAAAATCCTAGTTATGTAACAAAAGTCCCCAACCCTTTACACAGTTAGAGCCATTGAGTTTCCTAAGTCTCCCCTTCTCTGGACCACTTTCTTCCTTAGAGTATATCTTGTCTCTATCAAGTTGTCCTTGCTTTGACTGCTAACCATGTGCCTCTGTCCAATTCCTTATTCTGGTATGCAGGAACCTGTAATTTCTCCAAGGTACCCATAAGGAAACAGTATCTGCCAGTATAAGCAGAAAAAAATTAAATTGTAAGTGGGGTAAGGACAGAGAGGGAGAGCAAGGAAAGAGATATCTTAATTGATGGAGCCATTAGAGGGCAGTAGAGAAATCCGGCACTAGGGAAATTCACAAGGATGACCCCAGCTGAGACCTAAAGAATTAATGGAGAGGGTGCCTGAACTGGCCTTCTCCTGTAGTCAGATTGATGACTACCTTAATTACTATCATAAAGCCTTCATCCAGCAACTGATGGAAGTAGATACACAGATCACAGCTAAGAACTTGGCCAAACTCCCAGAGTCCAGTTGAAGAGAGGGAAGAGAGACAATATGAGCAAAGGGGGCAAGACCATGCTGGGGCTACCCACAGAAACATCTGACCTGAGCTAGTGGGAGCTCACTGACCTCAGTACAACAGCTGGGGAGCCAGCATAGGACCAAACTAGGCCCTCTGAATGTGAGTGTCAGTTGGGGGGCTTGTGCAGTCTATGGGGTCACTGGCAGTGGGACCAGGATTTATCCCTAGTACATGAACTTGGAGTCCATTCCCTATGGAGAGATACCTTACTCAGCCTAGATATATGTGGGGAGGGCCCTGGTCCTGCCTGAAAGTGATATGTCAAACTCTGTTGACTCCCAATGGGAAGTTTTACCCTTTCTGAGGAGTGAATGGAGGTGGGGCAGAGGGAAGGAGGGGAACAGGAGGAGGGAAGGGAGAGGGAACTGGTATTCGTATGTAAAATGAGAAAAGACTGTTTTAAACTTTTTTTTAAAAAAATGATGAAAAAATTGTAAGTTCTATTGACTTCAGCAATAATGGCTTTTGGGGAAATCCACAGGACCCACAGAACTGTCAAAAAGGTTTAACTTCTAACCACTTGGCAAGCACATTCTGGAAACCTGACTGGGACAATGAGGGAAGAAGAAAGGACAGACACACATACAGAAAAGCTGGGGTCAAATGGGGCATGCTCTTCTGATAAAGTAGCACCAATGACAAAACATCCTGGGACTATGTCAAGTTTACTATGTGTTGTACAGGGAGGAAGGGTTCACGAGTATCAGAGAAGCTATTAGCTATTCTGGGTAGGATCTCTGTAAGAGAGCAGTTTGGGTTGCCATCATCCTACAAGCTGAAAAGAAAGCTGCAGGTGCTAGTTTTTGTGCTCACTGATCAACTGTTGGTAAACACTGATACTTGGACTAGAAGAAGGTTTTCTCATGCCCGTGAACTTCACCTGAGGAAGACTTTGCCAATTCCCATGGATCTAAGGTATTATTCCCTGACAACAATATACATTCACTCAAGGCCTCCCGGCTCCCCACATTTGACATTAGATAAGAGCTTTCCACCAACTCTGTCTCCAAGGGCTTCACCACTGGAAAGCCATACAACTGAGTCCCTAGCTTCAAATCCATTCAAAAACTGTTTCCAGGTAGGCGAGCAAAGAACACAGTTAAACATGTTACCAATATAGAACTTACAACCATGGTGGCCAAAACCTGGGGTTAGCTTTTTTTTTAAAGACAGAGAGTGTTTTATTTAAAACCCATCAGTGAAATGGAAGACATGGGTCTATGACAAGTCATTCATATTTTAAATCATAAGTCTGTAACTGTATGAAAGCACACATTGTCACACACAAATTATCTGATTAGACCACAGCATCTTTGTGACAATTAATTTAGTATTCCTCTCCTTCTTCCTCAACCTCTCCTTCAACAGAACCCACACCACCTCCTCATAATCCTTCTCTAGGGCAGTCATGTCCTCATCGGCCTCAGAGAACTCCCCCTCCTCCATACCCTCACCCACATACCAGTGCACAAAGGCATGCTTAGCATACATAAGATCAAACTTGTGGTCTAGGCAAGCCCAGGCCTCAGCAATGACTGTGGTGTTACTCAGCATGCACACAGCTCTCTGGACACTGGCAAGGTCTCCACCTGGTACTACAGTGGGAGGCTGGTAATTAATGCCAAACCTTGAAGCCAGTCCACAAACTGGATGGTACGCCTGGTCTTGATGGCAGCATTGACATCTTTGGGAACCACATCTCCACGGTACAGCAGGCAGCAAGCCATGTATTTACCATGGCAAGGGTGACATTTCACCATCTGGTTGGCTGGCTCAAAGCAAGCATTGGTGATCTCTGCTACAGAAAGCTGCTCATGGTAGGCTTTCTCAGCAGAGATAACAGGGGCATATGTGGCCAGAGGGAAATGGATGCAAAGGCAGGGTACCAGGTTGGTCTGGAATTCTGTCAGTTCAACATTCAGAGCCCCATCAAATCTGAGGGATGCAGGTATGGAAATCACAATTTGACATATCAACCTATTTATGTTAGTGTAAGTGGGGCACTCAATATCAAGGTTTCTCTGACAGATGTCATAGATGGCCTTGTTGTCTACCAAAAAGGCACAGAGTGCTCCAGCGAGCGTGGTGTGGGTGGTGAGGATGGATTTGTAGTGCTCAACCACAGTGGTGGACACCTGGGTGGCTGGGTAGATGGAGACCTCCAGCTTGGACTTCTTTCCATAATCAACAGAGAGACCCAGAGCCAATTCTCCCGCCAAAGCTGTGGAAAGCCAAGAAGCCCTGAAGCCCTGTGCACTGGTCAGCCAGCTTATGAATTCTGTCCAAGACAAGATCAATGATCTCCTTGCCAATGGTGTAGTGGCCACAGACATAATAATTGGCAGCATCTTCCTTGCCTGTGATGAGCTGTTCAGGGTGGAAGAGCTGGCAGTGGGTACCAGTGCGAATTTTGTCAATAACTGTGGGTTCCAGGTCTACCAACACAGCCCGGGGGCACATGTTTGCCAGCGCCTGTTTCAATGAAGAAGGTGTTGAAGGAGTCATCTCCTCCCCCAACGGTCTTGCCACTTGGCATCTGGCCGTCGGGCCGGATGCCATGTTCCAGGCAGTAGAGTTCCCAGCAGGCATTGCCGATCTGGACACCAGACTGGCCAACATGGATGGAGATGCACTCAGGCATGTTTGCTGCTCTGTGGTTGTTGCGAGGATGGTGGAGGTGAGGAGGAGGTGTTGCTTTTTACAGCATGACTCTTAGGTGGTCGATGTAAGAGAACCTGCCCTGGGGTTAGCTTTTAGAGGTTAAATTTCTCCGAACATGCAAAGCAAGATGGCTGCTAATGGAACGGGTGAAGATCAGAAAGGAGCAGAAACCTTGCCCATGTGAGTTCTTGGATGTTTTCTCCAGCAGGAGATATCAGGAGAAAACAGACTGTTAACTTGGTTGAGGAGTTGGGCAAACAGATAGTGTCTACCAAAGAAAATGCTTTCATAGAACTGTCTTGCATATCCTAGGCCAGCCTAATAAACTACAGACTCTCACATTTCCATAGTATCTTTAAAACTAAAACTCCAAAGTCCCATTTCAATACAAACCATTCATTCTTGTAGCCTCTGAGAGATTCTTCCAAGTGATGGTGAAATGACTCCCCTCCTTACCACTAAAGAACCTTTTTGAGCAGTGGAAGGCTGGAAGAATGAGGCAGAGGCTGCTTAATAGTCACTTACCAGCTGAAAAAAGAGACAGAACAGATGTTTCTCGAACATTTAATCTGAGGCCTAGAACTTAAAGAAATACCTGGATATCCACATGGAGAACTTGTACTTCTTCCTTGTTTATACTTATTTGGCAAACAATGAGAATTGTCTATCTTGTGTCTTGTTCTTCTTCTTAGACTAGAACTGTGGCTTTTTCCCCCCTTGGAATATAACAGCCTTGGAGAGTAAGGCTATAATTCCATTAAACCAAGTTAGCAGTCTCTCCAATTTTCACAGCCTTCCTTGCAATACCGAGTAAACATGAGCATTAGACGTAGACCGTGAGATCAACGGAAATCTGCTAGTGATGCGCTCACTTGCTTTGCTACAGCAGCACACTCAGATGGTGTTGTACAGAACTGTCTTCTGAGCCAAACCACTGCCATCTTCAAGAGTTCTGACTCCACCTTGGAAGTTTGCCCCCTTCATCACCCAGCCACAGCCCCTCTCCCTATCTGTCTGCCTTCCAAGGAAAAATAACTCCTAGTCTCCAAGTAGGAGGGATAGATATCGTTTACATCTTTCCCTGGGAAGGAATTTTAACAACACATTGGTTTTATTTCAAATGCTTAATAAAACAACCATTTCTTTTGCCACTACATTAAAATTATGATCCATTTGATAGAGAAACTTGTTACGCTATCACTTGACAGTGTAAACTAATTAACTTTTAATTCTAATGATAGAGCAAGTCCAGTTTCCATAGAAGAGAAAGAAAGACAGACTTCTCTAACCCTTGAGTATGCAATCTTTATAGGTTCCAACCAATCACCTCAATAAAAAACAGGTTCCTCCCTCATGTGGAAATTAATTTGGTATGGCAGGAGTGTGAAGAAAAATACTGCATTTAAAACCACTAATGTCTTGAGATTATATATATGCAAGTGGTGTCTGTTATTAATCTGATAGCAATCACTTAAAAGGGCATAAGTTTAAGATGAATTTCATTTGATCCAATGAAACATTCAAACTCACATTGTATCACTTAGGTAGTGGTATCATTTATCCAGTGCTGGCTGGAGCAGTAATGATGAATTTATACCATTTGAGTATGGACTTTCAGAACTGTAGTCTTTTTTTTTTTTTTCGCACAGAGTCCCCAAAAAACGAAACATGATACCTTCCCATCTACTCTCAGGTCCAGAATAAAGTTATATCTCATGAAAGCAAAAGCCATGTCTATTTCTCAAAAATGTTCATTAAGAGAGGCAAAATAAGATTGGAAACAAAACCAAAAAGCTAATGCCATAGGCAATGGAGGAGATAAGGGAAGGGAGCAGTAAGCTAACAGTCACCTTTAGGACTTCAGAAAGCATTCTCCTGGTTAAACTGCTACCTGGGAGCTTTCCTTTCCTTTCCACAATCTCCTGGGTATCTCTACTTTCCCCAGGTTTGCTTTCCATTTAACTTCCTCCAAGGAACTGAAAATCTGCCAAAGACCACCCCCCCCCACACGCACACAATGGGATCTGCTGAGATAATACCTGTTTTATTCCGTTAAGGAGAAAACTGTGTTAATAAATGTCTGAGACAGTCAGCAATGCGGCTTTCATTTTGAACACATCATTGCTTGATATTGAACCTATCCATTTTGATATAAAACGCCAGGACTGTAGAATGCTCATATTTTGCCTATCAATAAATAAATAAATATTAGGCACACAAAACGTACTTGCCGGGGTGGAGTGAGGGAGAGTTGAAACTCCACTGCATGGGTTTGCATCTTATGAACTGTATTCAGCTTCACAGCCCTCCCATTCATCTCTCTGGAAATTCAATTTCCCTCTTGCAGGTTCATCTGCCAGTTTTCTAATTTTCACATCAAGCTGCATATTACTCATTGTCAGGCTAGTTGTTCTGGAAGTGTGGTTAGTGTCTTAAACCCTCTTACAGGGTTTTTAGTTCACCTGCCGACAGTTGCCAGGCCTCATGTTTTGTGCAAATGACCATTGCCTCACCCCATCACATGACTGAAAAAAAAAAACAACTCAAAATTTCAAACCAGAATGTACTTGATTTAAAGCAGGATCAGTGAGAATTTCGTTTTCTGAAAGGTAAGTCCAAACTATTTAATAAAACAAAATGGTTGACCAAAAAAAAGTGTGATTTCTTTCTTCAGCTAGGCACACAATCAATTCTAAATAAGTCACTGATGAAAGAGTATATAAATGATGGAACAAATGGTGCTTGAAAGCCAACATAGCTCTGTAAGATTATATGGATACATTATGCAGTTATGACACCAAACTATTATCTTTATCATACATTTATTTTTACTTGACATATTCATGCAAACAAAAGGAATCTTTCTTTTCATTTTAAAAGAAGCACTAATTGTGTTTTAAGTTGTCATTATACTTTATAGAATCTATTTCAACTTGGCATGCATATCTGTCCATTTCACATTTCTCAGGTCTGATCTCACACAGGTCTGCATTTCCAAAATCTATATAATTCTTGCTGGACTAGGGGAAGAAGGAAGGCAGACCCGAGGTGAACAAAGGTCTCTGCATGCAGTTGTTCCTAAAGCCATCTATGTAACATGTAGTCTTCCTGCCTGCCCCCTGGGCCCTGCCGAGCTGTCTGAAATCCCAAATAACACACAAGACACTGTATTAATTATAAAGCTGTTGGCCATTTGCTTGGTTTCTTATCTGCTAGCTCTGACTTGATTATTAACTCATAATTACTAATATATATTTTTATAAGGTCTTATCTTACCAAGAATGTAGACTTGTGTCCTCTCTTCCCAGGAAGATCACATGGTGACAACTCTCTTCACTACATTTCCCAGAATTCTCCTAGCCTCTTAGTCCCACCTATCTTGCTTCCTTATTGGCCAGCAGTGCTTTATTTACATATACACAGAAGGACTTCCCCCATCATCTCCTCTTTTCTGTCTAAATTAAAAAAAAAAAAGGCTTTAATTTTAACATGGTCAAATTATATATAACAAAACAGTTATCAAGTAAGAACTATAGTCGCAATATTTTGTCCATTAATATTTAGCAAAATTTAAAGAAAATATTTTATCATCTATCCTATCTGTGTAAGTCTAAAGTCTTATATGTAACTTATCTTTTATCATAGCTAGCGAAAACTATAATTATAACTATCTGTCTTCAACTCCATCAAAGACCACAGAAGTAAATATAGAAACACTAAAATTGACAGAGACATCTCCCTACCTGAACAGTCACCAGAAGTTCCTCTATAATATTGGAGCATCCATCTTCAGCGCATATGGAGCATCCATCTTCAGCGCATAAGCTCACAAATGTCTAAACTATTCATGACCTGGCCCTTTACAGAGTCCTGATATAAAGGCTTCCAAAGTCTTTGACACAGAATTGCCCCTTCCAATTTAATCTTCTAGCTCCACACTATGAAGATGCACTAGAGGCCCTGTCTGTTTTATTTATATAGACAAAAGTATGAACTCTGGGCTTAGCTCATTCATTTACAGCTGCTCTCCTACTTCCATCCCACCATCATCCTATTAATCAGTAGAAACTGCTTGCTTCCCCAAAGCTCCATGAGAATAAGGAAGAAAGATTACCACCAGGACTCAGAAGGCAAATTGTCGTCCTTCCTAGCTCTATCACTAGGGATAGGTCCGAGTGTAAAGAACACTGCTCAGCACAATATCTGACTTAGAGAAAACCGCCATGGGGTTTCTCAATGACATATGTCTCCACTCTGTCCCTATTGTTAGTGTGTGCCCGATACAAGTCAATTTGAAGGGAGCCTGTTTCACCCCACAGCTTGGTCCCATTTTACAAAGGTAATTAAATATTTTTAAATAGTATTTCTTTTTTTCTTTTCTTTTTTTTTTTTTTTTTTTTTTTTTTTTTGGTTTTTCGAGACAGGGTTTCTCTGTGGCTTTGGAGGCTGTCCTGGAACTCACTCTGTAGACCAGGCTGGCCTCGAACTCACAGAGATCCACCTGCCTCTGCCTCCCGAGTGCTGGGATTAAAGGTGTGCGCCACCAATGTCCGGCTTTAAATAGTATTTCTAATTTAATATATTTTACTTTACTTGATTAAGTTAATGTGTATGTTCATGAAAATGGAACGTATACATAATTTTTTTTGGTTTTTCGAGACAGGGTTTCTCTGTGGCTTTGGAGGCTGTCCTGGAACTAGCTCTTGTAGTTTGAGGTTGGTCTCAAACTCACAGAGATCCATCTACCTCTACCTCTCAAGTGCTGGGATTAAAGGCATATGCCACCACCACCTGGCTACATAATTTATAAAAGAGAGAAAGCCTTTGTCTTAGTCTGGTTTCTGCTGCTTATGACATAATGTCATAGAATAAAAAAGTTATAAATTAAAACATTAATTTGGGTACATGTTTCTGCCCAAGCCAAGGGCTCATGCGTGCTAATGACCTTCTTGCTAGCAGAGACATGAGGAATATAAGGCATTGCATGTAGATTAAAGAAAATTAAAGAAATCTCCACCTCAGCTCCTGGCATCCATATACCCAAAGAGTCTGTAATGTTCTGATGGAAGTTTCACCTCAATAACCCTCCCCCATCTCTCTATCCAAACCTTATCCCATTCCAGAAAGCCTGTCAAACAGGGCGGCTCCCACAGGGATACCTAGGACCACTCCCACGGGGTATTTAAATTCCCCCCCCCAATAAAAACAGACAAGGGTTTTTCAGTCTCTCTTTCCTGTCTCCTCTCTTGGGGGAGTTGAGGAGGAATCATCTGGGAGCATTTTACCCATTAAATGAGGACCTTTTTCTAATTTGGTATGATTTGGTCTGATTTGGATTACTGCATCAATGGAGAGGTTTATCAGGGTGCAGAAACTCTTCAGAGAGAACTAGCCAAAATAACTTTTATGGCAGATCTTCTCTAGAGATTCCCATTGGCCCGTTAATATGAGTATGGCAGTGAGATATCTCAGTGAGTAAAGGAAATTACCACCTAGCCTGATGACCTGAGTTATCACCATAACCCCCATCTAATGGGAGAGAACTTATTCTCAAAATTTGTCCTCTGACCTTCACATGTATACCTAGGCACATTCATTCCCCCATGAACATACACATATCCCAAATAAAAAATTATGTACACACACACACACACTCATGAGCATAGCCCTACCAACTTAAAGTTTTCCTAATGGATTTAAATGTGGACATAAGTATCAGAGGGACAAAATATATTCATATCATCTAATTGCCTCCTCTCTCTTCCTATTCCTATCATCTATCACTACTTTTAGTCTTTATGCTTACTTTTTCTTTAGAATATAAATTCCTTAATGTGCATATGTTTCTTTAAGCAGATCAGGCTAGGCCACTGACTCTTGATCTATAATGACAAAAATAACAGCTTGTTCCAAACTTCCCCCTTTCCTTATGCAGCCCATTGCCTCATTTTACAATGATGCCTTTAGTTAAAGTAAGTCTAAATGACCATGATATTTAATCTGTGTAAATGTCATTCTAAACTGATAATCATGAGACATTTTGACTATACTTCATTTTATTTTTGTTTTGTTTTCTCTGAAGCATATAATTGCTGTTTGGGGGAGGGGTTTGCCTTTGTTTTACTATTGCTAATTCTTGCATGATTTTCATAAATTTCCCACACTATTTCATAAATTTCATCATTCCAAAGGCTAGCATGATTAAAAACCACCATTTTTCCCTGGAGGCCTTCCTGAGATTTTCATTCTTCTTCTACTTGGCATCTTGCACATCAGCCAAACACTGTCCATCACCCTAGGACTCTGCTTTGCCATCATTCCAGGAATTCCTTCTGTTTTCTTATGCATAAGACTGCTGTTTCCTGGATCTCATTTTTCCATTTTTCTTATTTTAATGTTCTTCACTTCCCATTTTGTTGGAGTACGCTATCCAGTAGTCTAGTTTATCTTAAAATCAAAAGTCTATAAATAAGCATATGAAATTATGTCATCAGAAAAATTAAAATAACAATGAAATACCACCACACATTCTTAAAGAGTGAAAAAATTCAAAACATTGACAACACCAAATACAAACGATTAGGGTCAAAAGGCCCTTCTTCATTTCTCAAGTGAATGTAAAATATTATAGCCACTTTAGAAAATACTAAACCACTCTGCATGGTGCCACATCTGCATTCCCAATCACTTGACAGGCAAAGGCAAGAGGATCAGGACACATTCTTATCACATGACCTAGTAATTTTCCTCTTGGTTTGTTGCCAAGGAAGTTTAAAACATATATCACCATAAAATCTACATACAGCTGCATATCAGACATTTATAATTGCCAAAATTATTGACAACCAATGTTTCCTTTAGTAGGTAAGTAAATAAATGAACACTGGAAGAGCTAAACAGTGAGATACTAATCAGCACTTAAAAAGTCAACAACAATAATAAAAAAAAGTTATCAAGCCTTAAAGATACTAGGAGAAATATTAAATAAAAGTAGAATCATATACACAGTATGTTGTAACAAAAGTAACCTGAAATTTGCATCAAAATACAAAACTCCATACCAATGTAAAATGTTTGAGATTAGTAACTGCTTTTAATTTAAAATTAGATTCAATAATCTACACTTTTATGCTGTCATTAACTTTTCCTCCATTATCCCCCTTTTTTTACCCACACTAGATCAGAAAGAAAGAAAGGAGGAAAGAAGGAAGGAAAGAAAGAAAGAAGGAAGGAAGGAAGGAAGGAAGGAAGGAAGGAAGGAAGGAAGGAAAGAAGGAAGGAAGAAAATCCCCAATCTAACTTTCTTTGGTTTCCTCTCTGACCATGACCAATAACAACTTGTAACCAACACCCACCCCCAAACGATGACAAATATCCACAACCCACTGAACAAATAAAAATTACCCAACCCACCTCCAGTGAATGTGGGAATCGTGTTCTTAAAATTGCTTCTTATTGTCTTGGGCTGATGACACCTTTAGGTAACCCTGTGAAAATAAGGATAATGGTCAAGTCCTGAAGGAACACACTGTAGCATCTGTTGTCAAGTCTCTGTGTGGTGAGAAAGTACTTAACTGGGCATCTTGATAGAATAGTCTTGAGGCAGGACCATCTCAACTAACCACTTTGAAGTTGTCCTGAGCAGTTTGTAGTTCAAAGATGATCTTTGGGTGTTGTCTGGCAGCTAGCTTAGTGGAATTACCACAATCCAGGTGGATTCATTGTTGTAGGGCACCATCATCTTCTTGGAGACCTCAAAGGTCACTTCTAGAAATGGTTATGTTTCACTGCAAAAATCAAATATTTTAAATACCATATTTAGCAAATCTCTGAAAGGCTAAAGGGCCACAATCTATTAAGTACATCTGGTGTACACAACCTTAGTTCCTAGTTGCCTGCTTAAGACTCAACCTGAAGATGCATACAGAAAGCTGGATGAAGCTTATTATTCTCTGTGACCACTACTATCATGATAGAAAGTTTATATGTACAAAATAATCTTGCAGATTTTGAGATAATATTTATGCCTTAAGAAAAGTTTTTAAAGAGTCAAATGGAAATCAGAAGATTATGAGATGAGTCCTTTTATTTTGTGTTTTCTTCTGTCCCATACCAGATGGCTCTTCTGATATGAGACAGAGATTTGGGTTTTTCTTTAACAATCATGTGTGGGTTTAGAGAAGGAGAAATCCACACTCCAGTCCCAAAGCCAGCTTTAATTTTTAATTGAATTGAGATCACATAAAGACCATTTGCCACTTAAAGTCTGTAGAGGGCAGCAGAAACAAGCGTTTGAGAAGATTTAGTAAATTCTACCTTGTTGGAGGCAGGAAATACCATTAGGCCAATTTACTTTTGTTTGAGACGTTTTCTCTTGACAATCCATCCCTTTTTTTCAGATGTTTCACTTATTCAGATGTCTCTGGATTCCTTAGTTTGGATGCTTTTAATCTCCTAGAAAGATAAAAAAATAAACCCTGCCCCAACTCTAATCATATCTTTCTTAGGACATTTTTTTAAAAGCACAAAAAGTAATACCTTTCATTTAAAAATTCTTTTGAAAATTTGAAATTAAATATACCTTAGTACGTGTGGATAAATATACCTGCATCCCCTATCTCTTTATATAAAAATTTGAGGCTAGCATGTCTTTAGATCTCAAGGGGCATACATTATGAATTTCAGCCTGCCTTTTGCAAGGGGCTTTAAATTTAAATCACTGTAGCTCTTATGTGCCTGCCTCTGCCTCCAAAATTTTGGGATTCAAGGCATGTGCCACCACTATCCTGCTCAAATATTTTATCTTACTTCCAAATCATTCCAACTCTTAGAGATATAAAAAACAAGTTTGAACTGTAGTAATCCTTTGATTACTTAAAACATTTTAAATCTCTTAACTGTGGCTTAATTGCCAAACTAAAAAATAAATCCTTTTTACTTAAGAAGAAAACTCAAAAACTGATGTCCAAGGTGGTGTGGGTGATGTGACAATCTTCAATTTAACATTCTAACATGGAATTAATACACGTGGTTTAAAAAAAAAACTTTTTATTTCATGCAAGTACGGCAAGTGTACCTTTGGTAAATTATCACTCAGGAATATTTTTTCCATCCCTGATCAAATTAAAGGCATTTGTTAGTTTTTATAAGTTCAGGAGGTCTCTCCTCTTCAAAGCTAATCTTTATGAACCTTAATGGCATCCTCGGTTTTTCATTTCCTATGGAAACCAAAGCAAAACCTCTTCCACAACGTAACACATATCCCTGTTTCCATTCTGAGGTCAACACCTCTTTAAAATATACAGGATGATTTAATTCAGCAACTTGTTGTTTCGGTTTGGTTTGGTTTGGTTTGGTTTACTATCAAAAGTTTCCCCACAGTTGTAGTTCTTTCTCATTAGCACTTAAAAATTTAAAGTTAATAAAGCCCCCTTTACCAGCTGCAACACTCAGAAAAGCAGCCCTGCAACTCATCTGGGCAGCACAATGGAGCTGACCCTGCTGATGAGGGCACAGGTGAGAAAAGCCAAGAATGCAAGTGTGGGAGACCTAGCTCAACCCCTCATCTGTCATGTGACTGCATGGGTGGGGGAGAAATACACCCTGTTAGTGCCTGAGGCAGGTAGGAGAGCTGTCCCTGCCTCCTACCAGCTTCAACTTTCAAGAGAGAAGGTCCTGCATCTCACCTAGGCAACACAATAAAGTCAGCCCTGTAGGCAGAGCTGTGGGTGAGTGAGCCCCTAAGTTGTGAACACAGGAGAGCTATCCCCACTACACATTAGTCATGCAGCTGTATGGGTGGGGTAAAGATTACACCCTCACCCCTTGCTCCTTACCACCTGTGACAGATGAGTGAGCTGACCCTCCCCCTTACCGGCTGCAGCACTCAAGAAAATGAACCCCGTCCCTCATCTGGGCAGGGCAGGAGAGCTCACCCTGTGGTAGATGTGGGGGTGAGCCAGCCTCAATGTTGTGAGCATGGGAGAGCTGACCCCATCACTCATCTTTCAGGTGCCAGCCTGGGTGCAGGGAGAGATGCCTGGGATGGGTGGGAGAGCTGGTCCTGAGATCATAAGAGCTGGAGAGCTTTCCCTGGCCCTCATCAGCTGAAGCACTTGGGAAAATGGTCCCTACACCTCAACTGAGCAACACGGTAGAGCTGGCCCTGAAGATTTAGGTGTGGGAGAATTGATCCACAGGATAAGAAAGATGGAGAACTGTCCCTGACCCTTGCTCATCACTGCCAGGGGTAAACTAGCCAAGGCAATGCTGGAGAGCTCACTGTGCTTGTGAAGACAGGGAGAGCAGGCAGGCTGACCAATCCTGCAATTACCCAGGCCCAGAACCAAGGTTATATGTTGGTGTTCCCCTCACCCAAAATCCACCCCATCTGTGACCTACTGGAGCCCAGTGTGTACATGTGTGTGGGGGGGGGTCATTCCTACAGATGCAGAGCTGTGGGATCTCCATGCAAAAGGGCAACAACAGAATATCCAGGAAGAGTCCCAGTGAGCAACCAGTGCTGATGGTGTAGCAGAGACCAGGAACCTCAAACCTTCTTTGCAATATATGGATAAAGGAATTTCCTGCAGGACTCACTGCAGTATCCATACACTGCAGCTTCCATGGCAAAATTTTCCTCTTCTTTCTTTTATTTCCTTTTTTCTCTTAAATATTATTTTGTTTTATGTTTGGGTACAATAGGTAGAATCAGGAGGCCTTATATAAAAGACACAAAGGATAAATAAATAAAAAGAAAGGTGAAAAATTCAAGTTAAAATATTTTTAAAATAAAGTTAATAAAGCACTGTGTAATCTATCTCTGGGGTCTTATTACCTCTTTATGCTCATTAAGCATTTCTTTTAAGGTGTCATTGGAATTTTCTATAGCCCCTAGTCATATAGGATTTTGTGATACAACTGTGATATATTTTATGTTGCAATATGCAAACAATGGTTTCATTTTATGAGGTACATATACTGGAACATGATTAGTTTTAATTTGTAAAGGTATAATATATAATATAGCTATAACTTAAAAATTGTATAGTCACAGAGTAAGTCTTTTCAGAACTTAAAGCAGGTGCCCTTTGAAATCCTGAAGATGTATCTATGGTATGGTACACATTTTAATCTTCCAAATTCTATAAAATGAAACACATCTAATTGCCAGATTTCATTTTTTAGTACCTTTTGGGTTACTTCCTGCAGGAAATGGAATTTTGTTACACAAAGAAGTAGGACATTTCTTTAGAATTTTCTTGGCTTGTTGCCAAGTGATAGAAAATCGTTTCCCAAACGCTTGCTATTAACAGGGTGCTTCTTATGAAATTCTCAGGCTTCTAGCATACTCCTTACTAGTAGTTGATCAATTTCATCATTACATTGTGCTAGAAGGCTTGGCAGGCCATATGGGATCTGTTATGTCTCTTCCACAGATAGAGAGTCTGGGAAACAGGAAAGAACCTAAAAGATATGCATATATGCATAGTACCCAAGAGAAGAGGATGGAGACAAGACCCTCTGATGGGGAACACGGCGAGGGGTGGGGGGGAGTGGGACCTGGGAAGAATAGAGGGGGTAAAGAGGAAGGGAGTTGGTTATGAATGATTCTTATTTCTGATTACTTGTTGTCATTGAATAAATAACAGAGAATAAGTTCGCTGGTTTCAATATGTAAAACACCATTTTCTGCATACTGAGCCAGTAACTGTATTAAGAGGTTCTGGAAAATCTAAGAATACTGTGAAAATAGCATATAATTCTGATTTTTAAGTGGATTATAAGGGCTTTGAGCCACTTTACTTATTTTTCCTGACTTCCTTACTTTTAACCTGCCTTTCTTTACTTATTTGCATCAGCATAGAGAGCAAGGGCTCCAAAATCAGTGCTCATTTCACTATATGAGAAAGAATCCAATTAGTTCTTTTTATAAACTGAAGTCTGCTATTTGGAGATATTAGTTGCTAATCTCTCAAAAAAAAATACTGCAAGATCTTTGCCAATATCCATTTTCTGCTCATAATGAGACAACTTCAGCATTAGTAAAAGGTACTACAATTTCTGCTGGGTCTATTCCTACCATTGATGAAGACTCATTTTTTCCTTTCAAAATCAATTCAGAAACCTTTTATATATAGGTCTTCAATTTTTTTCCTCTGTATGGTAAAACTATCCATCCTAAGATAGTAACTTCTCTCTGCATAAGAATACTATGGGAGAATGAGTAGAAGGTAAAATAACTAAAATAAAATCAAGCTCTGAATCCAAGTAATCCACATGTGAACCCTGTATTTTCTTCTCTACCAGAGTCAATTCTTTCAACATTGGCTAAAAAATTTTTTAGACTAAGTCCTTATCACCTTGTGTGTCAGTTTGCATGTAATAGGCCCACATAATCTCATAGGGAATGGCACTATTAGGAGCTGTGGCTTTGCTGGAATGGATATGGCCTTATTGGAGGAAGTGTGTCACTGTGGTGTCAGGCTTTGATGTTTCTACTGATCAGAACATGGCCCATTGTCTTAGTCAGCTTTTTATTTCCTGCTGAACAAGATGTAGTCAGCATCCTGTCTGCCATACTCCTCACCATGATGATAATGGACTGAACCTCTGAAACTGTAAGTGAGCCACCCCAATTATTTTTCCTTATAAGAGTTGCTATGGTCATGGTGTCTCTTCACAGCAATAAAAACCCCAAGACAGAAGTTAGTAGCAGGATTGGGATATTGCTGCAGTAAGACTGACCATGTTTTTAATTTACAGAAATACAGGTTCTGGGAGTTTGGGTTAGGACAGCAGTGAAATGCTTTAAGCA